AATCCAATTTGTAGTTATCCTATCAAAATATACAAGAATGTGCATAAATATCCTTAGAGAAACATCTAAAACAGAGATCCAAGCATCCAATAAAGAGGGAACTATTTAGATATGGTCACAGTAAGGGCTAAGCAGTCACTGAAGATCATCGGTTAGGAAAAATTTAACAACATAAAAAATGTTCCTAATATACTAAGTAAAAGCATGCTCTGAAACAATATGCATTCTAAGAAACCAGTGTTGTTGAAGTCTATAAAAAGGAAGCCAGGTGTGGCACACATCCCGACACTGAGGAGGACAGGGCAGGAAGATCCAGATCAAGGTCAGCCTCGTCACAGAGAGACTACGTCCTTCAGGAGAGAAAAAGAAGTATGTAGAAACAGACGTAAAGGGAGGTGAGATGCGGCACAATGTTCATGCGATGTAAAGACAGCCTTGGGAAATTTCCTCCATTGACATTTTATGTAATGAACACGGATCCCCTTTATGATCTTTGGCAATAAAGCTCACTTCAGTGAAATCCCAGGCCTATGGGGGGAAATGTATTAGACATGGAACCCCTTGTCTTCAACTTAAAGTTTTAACCAATCAAAACAATGCATGTGAGTGTGTGTGAGCGCACACGTGCATGCACACAAAGACAGACAGACAGACACAGACAGACAGACAGACAGAGAGAGTTTGTATTCTCTTGGCTTTCAGTCCTCCCAACGTAGGATTATTTTTTAATACCATTTAGTATCTTGTGAGACCACTAGTAAAATCAGAAATTTAAATACATACATTCACATACAGAAAGCAGAATTCGACTAAGCCGCACACACTGCAGCTCTGATGGAACTCTTTAATGTGCGTTGCTCCATTGCTTCCCTTCTTGTCGTTTGAGAATCAGTTCATTTGTCAGTCATAGCTCCCGACAGTCTGTAGTTTGGTTATTTTGAACAAGTGTCACGTTCTGTTTCCTGTGCATTTTTTTATTTTAATTTTTCGAGACAGGGTTTCTGTGTAACTTTGAAGCCTGTCCTGGAACTAGCTCTTGTAGACCAAGCTGGCCTCAAACTCAGAGATCCCGCCTGCCTCTGCCTCCCAAGTGCTGGGATTAAAGGCGTGCGTCACCACCGCCCTGCTTCCTGTGCAAATCATTAGTTAGACTTGTGCCACCTGACAAGGCTCGCTCAGTGGGCATAGAGGACATCTAGGGCACACCATGTTTGCCTGCTTCCTTCTTTTGATATTAGACACTGAGAATCATTGCCCAGGTCCCATCATCCTATAAGGGGCCGACTCCAACAAATCTGCACATTTTAATAAATCTGTTTTCATACAGTTCCTTTTGTTTGCCTAAAATTTTGAGTGATTTGTAATACAAGAAAGTCAATGGAAAGAGATGTTTCTATTCCTGCTCACGTTTAGGTGATTTAGCCTGGATATCTAGGCTGATCAATCACATTGGACCACTTCAGTTGTATACATATACACATACATACATACATACATACATACACACAAACACATACACACATAATAAACCAAGCTGTCAGATCCCTGCTGACGTTTGTTTTGGACATTTGCTGTGTTAGGTACACGCTTGTAGCAGTCAAGCAGCAGAAGAGACACTGATAGTTTTATAGGCTGTTGTTTAGAAAGAAGCTAAAAAAACCAGTCCCTACCTTCTCTCCCTTTTTGGTTTTTCAAGACAAGGTTTCTCTGTGTAGCCCTGGCTGTACTAAAACTCACTTTGTAGACCAAGCTGACCTCGAACTCCCAGAGAGCTTCCTGTCTTTGCCTTCCAAGTTCTGGGATAAATGGCGTGCATCACCACGCCTTTCTATATGTGAATGTATGTATTTAAATTTCTGATATTACTAGTGGTCTCACAAGATGCTAAATGGTATTAAAAAAAAATAATCCTACATTGGGAGGACTGAAAGCCAGAAATTAGGAACAAAACCAAATATTTCAATGTCTAGGCTCACTGAAATAATCTGATTTGTTCAATGTTACAGGAATTTGGATTTTACAAGGCAAAACCTCAGCCGGCCATTTACTGCCGTATTCCTGGCATCTGATGCGATGCCCGACACATAGTAGGTGTGAAGGAGTGAACTAAATGCCCTAAAATTATTAATTATTGAAGTCCAAAGTCCTGATCAGGAAATAAAACCCCCAAGAAGGAGGATATAGAAAGCTAAGCCTGGACAAGCTGTCATCTCAGAACTCCCATTGAAGCTGCGTGCGGAGTGTTCCGTGTCTGGAAAGCCGTAAAACAAGTGGAGAACGGCCAGAGCCCAGCTTGACTTGCTCCAGAATGCGGAGAGTGACAGCCAGACTTACTGTTTGCATTCCTGTCTCTGCCTTTTGGTGAGCAGTTTCCGTTCCAACAGAATTCCGTTTCTGAATTGACCCAGGTATTTACATCGAATGATTTAGTACGTCACACCGATCCAGCCTGTGGGGTGCCCCTGCCATGCACGTCTCAGATGGACCCTTACACGCCGCCACCCACAAACCAACCAGACACCGCTCCGATCCGACAGGAAGCCTCGCAGGTGAGAGCCGAGGCTTCGTTTCTCACCCCAGAAACAGCGTTCTTTCCAGACTGTTTAAGACCCGCTCCCCCACCCCCACGTCTTCTGTAAACTTGTCCAGACATGGGGAGCATCATTAGGCCGGGTCTCGCAGTCATTCCACGGCTTGCAAAGCAATCATTTATAGGCATTTGGTGTTTCGTCGGACATCTGTTTGATGCCGGAGCTCCAGCGTGGGTCTCAATGAATCACTTGTCAGAGGGGCTGCAGCAGGAGAAGCTGGATTTCACACCTTTGGGAAGGCTGGCTGGGATGTAAGTGATCTTAGGGTTTTCCAAACAACTCCCAGTGTCTGCAAGGAAGCAAGGGAATAGGTGGGGGGTGGGAGGCTGAGAACCTGATGGCTATTCAAGGCTCATTTTGTTCTGTCCCTGTCCCTAGAGAGCTTTTTGCCTCTGTTGAACATATAGCCCACTTATCACCATAGCTGAAATGCTGCTGTCCAAAGAACCTCACTGAAATATTTGTGCAAAGTATTATGAAAGCATCAGGCAGAGCAAGAGATTTTTGAAAAAAAAAAAACAGGGAAATTCCCCACATTCTTTGATAGTCTACATCAGATTTTTTTCTTTCCCCCCAAAGGTACCATTCAGTGGTTATGGCCATGTTGGCCATGCTGATCTAGAACGTCAGGAGATGAAAGTTAGAAGTCAGACTGGGACAGAAACCTGGCTGAGACCAACAAGGCATTAGGCCTATAAGGTTGTCTTTTGTCACAGGTACCCGTGACCTCACAAGCTAACGAAGCAAGTAAATATGGCAAGCAAATTCACTTTGAACAAGGCCAACAGCGGTGTGTTGTAAAGAGATTCTTTGGAGTGGCCCATGGAAATGCCTAAGAAAGGGAAAGAGTGATGTCTGAGAACACCTTAGGTGGCCTTCTGAAACTAGGGCTCCCTGAATAGATCACCACTCACAGAGCAGAGATGGGGCTCATGATGTCCTGATAGAGGCAATGGGGTTGACAATGTGTGAGGCTGCTTTGTAGGAGGGCCTGACGCTGGACAGAGACTTCTCTTTGGCCCTGAACTGCCACCTGGGTTCCACAGAAAGTCACATCAGGAAGAGGTTGCCACAAAGAACCTCTCTCGGTGGGAAGTTGGCATCTCCAGGTCTGATGAAACAGTGGGGGTTGGGGATGGAAGCTTTTCATGTCAGGCTTTTAATTCAAAGAAGAAAGGGGAGGGGAAGTGGGTCTGCATCTGAGGCTGAGTTCTGCTGGGACTCTGCGGACTTCTGAAATAGTGGAAGGGTTTGGGGATGGAAGGGCCAAGGCCTGGGCTCATCTATCACTTCAGGCATCTGAGCTGGAGACATTTAGTCCAGAGATACAAATCGTTTAATCACACTGACTCAGTGATGACCAAAAGCCATGCACCCTTAAGAGCCAGGAATTCCCCCACAAGATGTGGTAATCCACTTCACAGCCTGAACTTGGGATCCTCCCGGCCCAGGCTGTAGAACAAGGAAAGGCTGGGGACCAGTATTACAAACTTTGTGCATATCAAAGACTGATCCTCTCTTCCAGGCACTGAAATGAGGACCCTCAAGAGCCTATACCCACTCCCAGCCCCGCCATCTCACATGTCCTTTCGTCTTTTGTTTGATACGTTAGGTCAGATTAATGAAGATGCCTTCTGCCGCTGGATCAAGCCAGCAGGAACACAACATTTCCACTAGAGTCTGAGTCTGCAGTCTGGGCAGGAGAAATCACCCAGTTGCTGCTTTAAAATTTTGCATTCTGCCCACACTTGCTTAGGTAGGGCCGAGATGATGAGGCAGGTGTGAAACTCAGAAGAAAGTGATTGGAACTCTCTGGGCCTGAGTGATCTGTGTCAGGAAAAATCTTGTGCTTGGCAGAAACATGGGCCAGAGTTGGAGTTTCCTCTTTTACCACATACCCTGCCCCCATTTTTCTTCTCATCCTCTCTCCACCTGCTTTTGAATTTTACTTTCCCATTCTCATCCTCACGGATGGACATATAAATGTTTAGCACGTCTTCCTAAATTCATTAAGAATATCCACCAGCTCCCTAAGGGCATCAAAAAACCATCGGAAGAAATAGCTCATTGAACTCAACTTGCAGCAAGTGACCTTCAGGAGAGATGATAAAGGACGATCCTCTGTGAAGGATGACACACCACATCTCCAACCTCTTTACTCCCTAAGAGAATGGCTCCCAGGAAAGCACACTGGCACTCAAGTAGAACTGACTGGAAAAGGCACTAGGCTTCTTTTTCTCTTAAGTTTCTCACAACGGCTTCCAAAGAAACATGTACTAATAATTTGTTCTGACTCAAAAGCAGCAAGACGTATTTTGAAGATTTTTTTTTAAACAAGCAACACAAAGTAAACAGAATTCTGGGGCTCTCAAATGCTGAGACTGAAAAGAGCGAGTCTGGAAACACCAGTTCTACTAAGCATTTATTTTCATTGCAAGATAGTGGAAATCATATAAATCACGGGCCAGGTAAAGCTCTTCTTGCCTAGCAAACGTCCACATGAACCGGTCAACCTTTAAGTATAGGTTATATCTCAATAGAAAGACAGGGTAATATAGCAGTTACCCGGCAACCAATACTGTAAACTACGGTAGATACAAAGTTTTATATAAATAAATTGCCAGTAGAAAAAAAGGCAACGGCTTCAGCTAAGAAGGTACAAAAATGGGTCACTTCCATAAATATAACAAGATGCTAACTGAAGAAATACATAACAGACTGTTTTCCTATATATATATTTGAATATGCAAACTAAGACACCTGTGGCACCTTACACAAAAGTAAGAACAAGACACACAGCCCCTCCCCTTCCCTCTCCCCTCCCCCACATGGGTTTCCCAAACACAGCAAATTCTAGGGTTACAGAGACGGGATGCCAAGAGGAGCAATAAGACAGCGTGCTCCGACCCGCTAGACAAAGAAGGAGCCTCATTGACAGTTGTAAAGCATCAGGCGTCAGACAGAAACTTGTCAAAAACAGCTGTTGTTGGGTACTGATTGATAATGTTTTCATTCTGACGGCTGCGACGCTGCAGACAGTCTCCGGGCTGCGGAGAAGCCCATCGCTGGCGCACATGAACACACACAGACAACGGGAAGTCATTTAACAGATGGCAAGGAGCACTCAGCCACAGCATCTTCAAAAAGACAACATTCTCCATTTAATGAACTTGCAGGGAGAGAGAGAGCAAAGAGGAATTAAAGATCTGTGCTCTCCGTGGACCATCCCACAGAGTGGGAATTATTCAGGGATACTTTAGACAAAATGAATCACCACGGAGCCTTCTCTGGTCTACGCCGTGTATATATTTTAAAAGGCTTAAAGAGGTGCGGGATTGTTTTAATTAAAATCCATTTACGAGATGAAATCACTACATCTGAGCGCTGTGAGGGGTTTGAAGACTGTCCTCTGGAGAGTCACAAGGTTTTCTGTCACCCTGCACTAAATATGACATTGAGTCTGTGATGTCACGGTATCCAGCTACAGTACCTAAAAATGAGAGACTTGTGTTTTTATTGCTTGGGTGCAGGGAGCAGCTTTCTATCATTTGGCCACTTTGAATATAGTGAATAACTGGTCAAACATTTACAAGATGTGCCAATGAATATTTCATCCATGAGCCTCAATATTCATAAATTATTCCTGATTTAGAAAAGGTCAAAGGTGTTAAATCTTACTAAAACTGTACATTGTTCTATGCAATTTTATCATTTCAACTAAGTGGAAAAAAATTAGTTCCAAAGGCTGAGAGTAGGCCCTCTATTTATTTGCTGTAGCCCAGCAGATGCTAAGGGCACAGGACACCCCTGAAAATAGAGGTTTATAATAGAAATACTGACAGACCTTTACTAAACGGAGGCCTGAGCCGACTCCCCAGTCAGCATCCTCATTGATGAATAAGTAACAGGGTGTGCCTTGAGCTTCATCAAATCCATGCCAACTTAAATCCCAACCGTGGATTAGACATTGGCTGTTATGTTTATTATTTGAAAAGTCATTTTCTTGATTTCATTCAAACATTTTTGATTTTTTTTTAAGCGAAAACAAATGCTCACACTGCAGCTTGGCTTTTTGCAGATTAATGACTCCATTAAATATCTGCAGACTTGATCAAATGGGACTCCGTGGTGCCTGTGCTTGCCTAAATTCTCCAACTCTCTCAACCAGGATGCCGTCCTCCTGAGGGAGGGAACATGGCCTCAGGCAGAACCAAGCAAGCATCACACAACTGCTTTCTCGGTTCTTCAGAGCCAGTTTTATGAAAAGATGAGCAGGCGAAGCTTTGGGTGGTCACGTTGTGGTCACGTTCACTCATAGCCTATAAAGTAAACACACACACACACACACACACACACACACACACACCAGACAAGACAAAATAAAGTGTAAAAAACTTGACCCCTTAGAAGATGATGGAAACGGCATATACATCGTGGGGAGTCTAGTTCCAATTGCCTAAGCTCAAGCCCAGGGAAGTTAGTGAAGGCGCGGGAGTCTGAGTTCCTCAGAAGGGTTTCATTTCCGTGAGCCGCGTGTTCCATCCACTTTAGCACAAAGCACAGAAGAGAGTCTTAGGCCAACAGAAGGAAGAAACATGCGTTGAAGACAATTCGCGGTAAACAGAGAATCAGTTCTCCCTCAGTAGTGTGTATTTGACGTTAATGCGAGGCTAATTCACCTGACTTACGGAACAGTCACTTAGCAGAGAGACGAGAGGCTGGAGGAGCGAGAGGAGAGGAGATACTGAAGCCATGACAGTCTTGATACCAACATGAAATCAGAATGGGAAGCTGACATGATGGGTTCAAGGCTCTCGGGGAACTCCTGTGTCAGATTTCACATTCTCATGGCCTCCAGGTCTTTTTCTTCTAACAAGCTTATGAGCTGGGAGAAGCTGTCTTTCAGTGCGACCGTGTCATCTAGTGAGGATGGCTGCAGAATCCAGCGTTTGCCACGTGCAAGTGGTTCAAGTTCAAAGTATTTTTTGATCTGAAGAGAGAGAAAAAAAGAGATGTGTTAATAATTATATCAGGACCTTTTTTCCCCCTTACTAAGATACTAAAATGACGAAGTGGAGGGTATTAAGTGGAATTCATATGAACAGTCGTGTGCAGACATTCCTAAGACTGTCTGTCCACTGCTGTTGTCCTATGTTGTGACTCCGGAGTGTTTCCTTTGGGCACGGGTGACCTGCTAGCGAGTCACCATTCCAACTTGACACTCAACTGCTGGGGAGTTCTTACGAAGTTCAAGAAAGCATTTTATGTAATATGGGACAGGAAGAAACACAGAAGAACACCAAGAAGATTCCACTTACTCTAGTCGTTGCTAGCCATGTGACAATGGCTGTCTTGCCCTGACACAGTATGGATCCTATCAACCACACAAGACAATCTGGAGAGAAGTCACTGTCAGTGATCTCTCTAGTTCCCTTAAATTTCCAGTGGACATTTCTGAGAGCTAGGAAAGGGTCTTCTAGAAGAAAGAATAGGAGCTAAAGGTCCCGTGCTCAAGGGTGTTCAGGAACGTCTAGAAAAACTACCAGATTTGCACACATGCATAGAGTCTCTCGGGTTTTCTCCCTTCCTGATCCTGAATTCGCTAGGCGGGAAAGATCAAACCCCTGACGGAATCAGTTTCACACATTAGGGCTTACAGAAGTACTGGCTTTGCTCTCAAGGGATGGGATAAAGTGAAGAATTCTTCCGGCTCCCCACTCATTCACACCCAGGAGGCCAAAATAAAACTTGGTACTTATCACCAAGGAAGATTTTCTGAAAACCATACTCCCGATTTTCTGAAAGCCACTCCCAAATGTTCTATTCTGCCATCGCCAAGGCCAAACTGCTACCCTCAAAACCACTCTGTCCAGACCGGCTCACCAGAGCAGACATCCAGAAATACAAAGGGCTCTGTTGTTGTTATGGAGCTTTGTTTGTTTGTTTTGCTTTCTGAAGCAGGGTTTCACTCGCAGTCCTGACTGTGTCAGAACTCCTCAAACTTGTGGCCAATCCTCCTGCCTCTGATCCCAAGGTATTGGAATTATAGATGGGCACCACATGTCTGACTCAGAAATATCAAATGTTGTACTAATTTAGAAATTAAAATAATGCTAAAGTTTTGTAGTTCAGGAATATCCCTAAAAGTCCTCTCCTAAAGGCTGATCATGGTGTCCCAGGCCTTTAATCCCACACTTGGGAGGCAGAGACGGGCGGATCTCTGTGGGTTGAGTTCTGGGTTAGTCAGGAATACATAGTGAGATCCTATCTTAAAACACACACACACACATACACATACACACACACACCACACAGTCCTTAGACATGTTTCACACTGACAACAAATGCCCTTTTCATTCTTTCAAAGAAGCCAATGAGAATTGCAGGGCCCTTGTGATTTGAATTCTGAGGAGTAACGACAATTTATTTCATCCAAAGACCAGAAAATGATGGTTCAGAAAACAGGCCAGAACAATTTGTCATTCAAATTACTACACAAATTATTTAGAGTATACATGCTTATTAGGGATACAAACTTGAGGGCTGGGGAGATGGCTAAGCAGTGAAGTGCTGGCTGTCCTATGTGAGGGAGGACCAGCATTCGGATCCCCAGAACCCGTGTAAATGCTGGGTGGGCGTGGTAGCCTATAATTCCAGCACACTCAGCAGACTAACAAAGGGGATCCCTAGAGCAAGCTGGCCAGCTAGTTTAGCTGAATTTGTGAGTTCTGGGTTCAACTGAAGATCCTACTTCAATAAGTAAGTTGGAGAGTGGCTGAGGGAGATATCCAATGTCAGACCTAGTTCCTTCACCAGTACTACACACACACACACACACACACACACACACACACACACAAACATGCATGTGCATATATATGTGAAAATTTAAAAAAAAAAAAAGGCAAAAAACCCAACACCCCAAAGCACTAACCCAAACATGAACTTCCCGTCCCAATTCCATTCTCATGGTTGCTTTTCTTTATTGAATATTGAAAACAGTTTACCTCTCAGAGAACCTAAAGTGGTTTTGTGTAATAATCATTAACGCCAGAGGCTAAGCACGGTCACAAAGGGCAGAGCTGACAGGGGAGCCCTTGGTTAGCAGGTGGGTTAGAGCTGCAGAAGGGACAGGGAGGGAGTATGACCAATGCCACAGCTAGGAGTGGGTTTCCCCAAAGGGTGTAAATCAAAACTTTTGGTCTCCCTTCTCCCAGGAATTGGGACTGCCATGCTTATAAGGCAATCCGATATTTGATCCTGACAGATGATGATTGACGGGTCACAGACAAATTCTGTGTCACTGACATTTTATAACCTTCATTCAAAAGGGCAACATTTTGAATAATACTAACTGGAACCAGGCGGTGGTGGCGCACACCTTTGATCCCAGCACTCGGGAGACAGAGGCAGGCAGATCTCTAAGTTTGAGGCCAGCTTGGTCTACAGAGTGAGTTCCAGGACAGCCAGAGATACACAGAGAAATCCTATTTCGAAAAACCTAATAATAATAGTAATGATAATATCAGAAAGAGCACTAATCATGAGAAATTCAGTAATAAAAAACAATAAGTAGGTAAATGTATCTCAGTAGCAAGATTTCTTCATCTAAAAGTTGCACAGAGTCAAGCTGAGCGTGGTGGTACACACCTTTAATCCCAGCATTTGTAAATCTGAGGCAGCCATTTCTGAGTTAAGGCTAGACTATTCTCCACAGTGATTTCCAGGCCAGATAGGACTACATAGTGAGACCCTGTCTCAAAAAGGAACACGAAACCAGAAACCACACAAAATAACCCTAACAGCCGAATTCCAACTAATGTGAAAACAACATTGGGTTTAATGATCGCCAGGCAACTGGTCGTATTTTGCATTGTTGATAGACAGAACTTAGTGAGTTGTAGCTTGTTTATCACACAGGCACACTTGGAAGAGACTAAAGATGCCTAAAGGTAGGTCTTGTTGAATCCTAAACCAGGAAAGGGAAGCTGTTACGATGGGGTCACCAGGCCGAGAAACCCGGCAGTGTTAAGCTGACAAACAGGGCTGAGTAACTTGAGATTTTCAGCTCCATAAGCTAAGTGGGTACCTAACCCTGCCACAGTCACCCAGCTGGCATTCGAAGGATCCCACACAGTCACAATGTCAGTTTTAAAACAAGATTTCAATCCCCAGATGCACCATCAGTCCCTCTGCTGCCAGAACGCAGCTTTTGACTTATCGGAGTTTCGTGTTTCTAAGCATGACTACGGCAGGGCAGCGAGCAGGGCGGAGGCTGACGGCTCTCTCTTTCCGAATCAATTCTTTGTTTTCTTACATGAACCTGATGTCAGGTTTTGCTTCCCCAAATTACGGTCACGTTGACTTTCTACCAGCATATTTTTATTTTGATGTTGATGATAATTTTAAAGAGTAGTGTTTAAGTTTGACTAAAATGATGAGTTTGAATCCATGTTCCCTTTCAAAGGCAAAAGAGTGCTGCTGATGTCTCTTTGTTCAAGACTGTTCCATTACAGAGAGACAAGTTCTAAATATGAACCCAAGTCTTTTGAAAGACTTCATTGCTGCGTACATGTCATGGTTAGCTGGAAAGTGTGAGAAGATGGCATTTGGGGGAATGACATCAGAATGCAGTTGCCTGGCAACCTGTGGTCATTTAGCTATTTTCAGGATAGTCACACAGTGGCCATTGGTCAGTAGCCATGTGTCCACCCTAGAGATAGAAAAACAAAGCCAACCGATTTTAGCTATGTCACCGGAGCCCTTCTCCCCCCATGCGCGGTGAGTGATCTGCATGACTAACGTCCATCATTCACACGTCGGACCCACTGCACAGCCTTTTTATAAAGAAGGCATGGCAGTTCTGCTGTTGCTAATGGTCGTAGCAGCTGCTAAAGCCTCCAGACGTCACACGTCACAGGAATCCCTTTCCTAGGGCTGGGCATGGCCTTTATCCCTGCTTAGGGAGTGACAGCCTAGGACAGTCCTTCTCTAGGAGTCCTTCTCATGGAGGGTCATGGAGGCAATCGTGATGATGCTCTCTGGGTTACTTACCCTCACTCCCCTCTAAAATATTTTACTTTCAAATTCTGTGAGTGAATTTTGAGAAGGCAGGTAGAGTTCCTAGCTCTAATCACTGGCCTCTCGTCAACACCTGCAAATTTCCTTGTATTTACCGTGATAAACTGTCTGCTTCCTGTTTTCGTTAGGAAGCTATGTAAGCAGTGGTGTACCCAGGGGTGACCTAGTTTTCTTTTATGTACTTGGGTAAGCTAAGGGTGGGATAATTGAGCAGGGTTTACTTGGTGCTTTATGTGCGATAGATGTAGGTCCTGAGCTTGGATATTTATAAAGAGAGCTTTGACCCACATGAATGTGTGGTAACATTAAAGACAGAGTCAGGGAGTGACAGCGAATCACGTGGGACCATGCCTGGAATTACACTACGTCATCTCTCGTCCTACAGAATTAAATGCTACAAGGACCAGCTAGTAATTGCTAAAGCTAAAGATATTATACCCCACCTCTGGTGCCTGAAACACTACCTGGGTGGACCCGGCCTGTTGAGAACTGCCCACCTAGCCCTTTGGTGCCTTTCCCACCCACCTGGGGCCATTGCAGGAAGCTGAGTATTGCTTCTCCTGTGCTTCCCCCACATCAAGGAGCAGCAGACACACATTTCCTTTGTGAAACACCAGCAGGCCTTGAGCGGCTTTCCCTAAGTCTGTGCATGGCTGTGACAACACGGAGTAGTGGGGCCTGAAGCAAGCTACGGAACTTTGACAATTTAGATCCTATAGGCTGGCTTGCTATAACTTCCTTCATGCACCTACCATCCCTCATGCAGGACGGCAGTGACCGTGCAAAGGCAGTGGAGGTGTGCCAGGGCAAGCCAGCTGTGCCAGCGTGCTATCTGCAGCCACGGGGCGGGTGGTGTAGAACAGAAGTTGTAAGACTGTAAGACAGAATCCCAAGCAGAAGCAGCAACAG